GCAGGTGCAGCACTTGGTGAACCTCGAAGTGCAGATTTCGTGGCAGGCACAGCGCTTGGTGAACCTCGAAGTGTAGATTTCGTGGCAGGCGCAGTACTTGGTGAACCTCGAAGTGCAGATTTCGTAGCAGGTGCAGCACTTGGTGAACCTCGAAGTGCAGATTTCGTGGCAGGCACAGCGCTTGGTGAACCTCGAAGTGTAGATTTCGTGGCAGGCGCAGTACTTGGTGAACCTCGAAGTGCAGATTTCGTAGCAGGTGCAGCACTTGGTGAACCTCGAAGTGCAGATTTCGTGGCAGGCACAGCACTTGGTGAACCTCGAAGTGTAGATTTCGTGGCAGGTGCAGTACTTTGTGAACCTTGAAGTGCAGATTTCGTGGCAGGCGCAGTACTTTGCTCTCAGATGCTCACTCTCACTCTCTCACTCTCACTCTCACTCTCACTCTCACCCTCACTCTCACCCACTCACACACGCCCACACTCACACTCAACTCACACTCACATTCACACTCACTCAATGAAAAGCCACTGCATGCACAGTGCCAGACCGACTACGCCGTTATGGGCTGCTTGCATGACGCCATCGTTGCGGACAGGGAAAAAAGGGGGTCGGCAGGGCATGTGCGAAGGGACACTCTCAAAAGGTCAAATGGTTTTTATTGGAAACATCCGCCACCGGCTTGCCCGGGAACTGCTTGTACTTAAATCGATGTTTATTATCTTTGGAAGTAGGGAACGCCCACAAAGCTGCTTCAGCCCCAGCAGAGACTTTGCCCCCTCGTTGTCCGTCCCGTGCCGGTTGTCTCAAGGCTTCAGGGTGGCGGCGATTATGGATTGGATGTGGAAGGTGCATCCAAGCTCGCCTTGGCAGCGTGTGCCGAATCGGCCCGATAGTTCTGAGTCTGAGCCTAGTGACAAAGAGGGGGCACCAAACAGACGTGCGAGGGACGAAGGGGGGGCGGCCAGCGCAGCGGCTCATGAAGGTAGTGGACTTCCCGAAAGCAGGGCAGGTAAGCTTTCAAAAGAGCATGGTTGGAGCTTCTGCTCCTTGGACCATGTTGGCGGCTTTGGGTTTCTGCCCTTCATTGGCTCTCACACCCACGACGGACCCTGGACGGACTTGGAGATGGGTTTGGTGGCGACGGTCCGCAGAGAAGTTGCTCAAGGCATTAATAGATTTGTTGGCCGAAGATTAAGACATTGAAGGCAGCATTTTCCCTCCCCCCATCAGCGGGTTGCCATTGCCATCACTGTTCCAGGCATTCTGAGAGGCGAATGAAATGAGCAATTCCGCAGACATCAAAACTGCTTGATACTTGTAGGTTGTATCCAAGTTCGCGCAACATGTTTCTTTATATAAAGGAGGCCAAACACAGCCTGTAGTCCATGTCGTAACCCCACTGTCGAGCTGCTAGCCTGTGCCTACAAGTGTCAAACCCAGCAAATGCCCTGGGTCTCCAGACACTCCCATTTCAGACCGCTTTGCATCGCTGTTTGGACGCTGTTTGGGCGCCAAAAGCGGGCGCCTACGCAGCCTGCGACCGCAGATGGAGGTGAGGTGTCTGATGCCGTGCACGGGGGACCCTTTGGGGGTGGATGTTGAGCCCCCACAGCTCCTCCCGTCCACGCGCAGCTAGCTTCCGTGGCTGGTGCTACGTAGCAAGTGGCCCATGTTTGGTGGCTTGGATGTGTATGTCCGTTCAACGTAGACGGACTTATGCACCGTTCAACTTTGGAATGAAGACTGTCAGCTGCTGTTATCCCAGATTCTACTGATCACATACTTCAGGATGATCTTGTCCAAGGCATTCTACAAACATAAACCTAGACAAGGACCTGACTTCAATGCCATCAATGACTGCCTGAAACTAAAGCCATTAAAGATCGACTATGTTTGTTTGGGGGCTCTCTTTTTACACCTGTGTAGAGCCAGAAAACGCGCCAGCTGGGTCGGGTCACGACGCGACCGCGCGTGACGGGTCACGACCAGGCTTCGACGAAGCCAGTGATCAGGTGGACCGGATGGACTCTGCGGAAGATCGCTTGGGGCGAATCGTTTTGGAGAAGAACTGCCGAACTGATCAAGAGCAAGGATGCTACGAACGGGGCTCCTGGCATCGCTACTAGTTACTAGTAACAAGAAGCGACTAGGGTTAGCTACTAGGGGCTCCTGGCCATGCTACTAGGAGCAAGAAGCTACTAGGAGCCTGGATGGATCCACCCAAGATTAGGTGTTCTTTTTCAGTGCCCAGCCTGAAAACATGTGATGATGGTAACTGCTCCGAGCCATGAAGCCAGGATATCTTTCTCGGGGATTGCCATCAACATTTTATTTGGTGCCTCAGTTTTGATCACCTGAATCATGAGTCGGGGAACCAACAGCTTCTCCTTGCAAGATTACATCATTTGAGAGCACACACAACCTGACCCTTTCCCCAACCTGCCGTGCCAGCTTTTTGCAGGGGCCGAAGAGGCGCGACAGACAAGGGGGGTAGTTGGGACGCGTTCAACAAGAAAACTTGTTTCCGTGAGCAAACCAAGCAAACAACCACGCAAGGCTGATCCTGTTCACATGTCGATCCTGGGCCTTTGTCAATGCAGGGTATGTTCATATAGAAGCCTGCTTCGCGCCCTTCTCAACCCGGTGATGAGATGAAACACATGAGCCGCAATCTTGGTAAAGCAGAATAGAGTTCGATGGCCGACTGGGAAGTGGAAGTCGCTTCCCCTGCTCAGATGATGGTGGCCTCTGCCGAGAGGAGCGGCTCTTGTTGGCAGAGGGTCATGTTTACCACCAGGGTAGATCTTTTTGTGCAAAGCTCCCCGGTTGAATTCTGCTACCGACTATATGCTTGAGGATTTAACCAGGATTGGAGTGCGTGGGTCGAGTTGCAATTCAATGATGCTTTTCCAGGGGAGCTGAAATTGGCTGCTGTTGCGCACCGCACTGCGCGAGCTGCATGCAGGGCAGGGAATACGCCCAGTGTTTTCTTTAGTCTTTAGTCAATGCAAACGTCTTGCTTCATCATCTTTGTATGATTCAGGACATAATTTTGTTGAAAACCGGCAGTACCCCTGACCCCCGCATGCAAGGTATTTGTGGGACAAACTGCACAGTTGGTTGCAGAGACCACCTGAGTTGGGTGGACCCAACTGTCGTTCACAGCAGATTTTGCATGATTTGGGTGTGGAGACCTCCCAAAGACCTCCTGGAAGAAGGAGAATGACCAAAACCCGGGTGGGTGGCGCGACTTGCGGACGTCTGAACCAGCGCCTTGCGGACGTCCGAAGGAGCGGAGCTCCCGAAAACCAGCCCTGAAAACCGTGGCATGACGGTGGGTACTGGGGGAGTTGAACGTGTATTACTCTCTGGAAGTGGTAATCTGAACACCTGTACAAATGAATGGTATGTACACTGCTGAATTGGGTGTCTCCCTTTTGAAACACACACCCACTGGCTTGATTTCATTTATATATGTATTATGACGTCCATCCCCGGCATCCCCAAAGGCAGGTTTTGGTCCCTCCTCTCCAGACGCCGCAGGATTTCACCTTTGGCAGCCTTCTGGGGGAGGTGCTTGGGCAGTTGATCAACCTATCTTCCAAGAGATCAGTCAGCCAGTGGATCAGTCAGCCTAGTGATTGATTTGTCCATCAGAGATCAGTTGATAGATCCATCAGGTCAGTTACAGGTGCCTTGTTCTCCGCACGTCTTGGGTAGGGTTGCAGGCTTCGGGCATGCCGCCCCTTTCGAACCGGGGTGAGCACGGTGAGGGTAGACCAATTCGACGAGGAACAAGAGGCCGAACGAAAGCCCCTGGCAGAAGTGATTCTTTGGCCCAAGTAGATCCCCATCAGCAGAGATTCGCACTGAACCACTGGTTGGCGAAATCGCCAAGCAAAATCAACTGCGCTGTAGCGGCGAGGTATCCCCACATTTGCTGGTTTTGACCCTGCCCAATGAAGAGGTTAAACAAGCTGTCAAGCCAGGACCAGCAGCACACAGGAGCTTCCAGACAAGCAAAACTCCGGTCCTTCAGCTTGTTTGGGAAAAAGGGCAGCAATCCATGAGGGTTTACACTGAAATCATGGAAGTGGATGGCACCATCTCGGTCTTGGTCTTCGGATAAGGATGATCATCCTGGCAGGGCAGATCCTTTCCTTCCATGACTTCCACTTCCATGATTCATTTCAGGGAGGGACGGTGTACCCCCCCGCAAACGGACCAGGAACCTGAGAATTCACCGATAGAAGACCATATTCCCAGTGGTTTTGGGGTTCCATCTTCATTTGCAGGGGTGTGTTTTGGAGCCCCTCCCTCGATCAAGGGAGGCCCACCTGACGCTGTCAGGGTGCTTTCGCACGAGTCCTTGCAGCACGCCATCGATCGGGAGGCGGACCGTGGCGAGACCGGTGGGTCAAAGGGACCGGGACCGACTCGGGGATCGTTTGGCTGAAAGTGTGAAGCCAAACAGAAGGATCTTTCTGCCAGGGCAGTCCTTTTTGGGCTCACTCTTGGACACAGTTGTGCGTTTTTTTTTTTTGTTTTTTTCTCGCTTTCTTTGTAGTGTCACATTTAGATAGCAAAGAGCCTGCGTATCGAAAGACATGGTCCTTGAGTTGGAGGTTCCAACGCGAACGTCGCTCCTTTTTGCAGGCCTTGCAGGGCCTCCACCAGGCCTCCAAAACAGCGGCTGTCTGTCTCCTCCGGGTGGTCTGCTTGGCCCACACCACTGGGGTTTTGCCCGGTGGGCGCCGGTGTGTGTGACCGAGACCTAGGTGAGTATGCCATCAAGATGGTGGACAAGAAGATGGTGCAGGATCGGAGATGGGAAGTGAGAGCGACTGGGTTGTCCGAGTCTGAAAAACCAGGCAAGAAAGGCAGTTCTAGATACGGTCGCGGAAGTCTTCTTTTGGAATCCACTTGTGCTGGTTTCCACTTCTTTCAAGTGTTTGATCAGTCGCCCCCAATCCTGGCTTCTTTGTGTGTTGATGCTATCTTGCCAAACATTCAGGGGCTTAAACCTTAGAAAGGACTTGTATTTCCTGCGATACCAAGTTCGGTCACAGTCAAAGCAGATTGCCCAGTTCATCAACAGAAGGGTCTTTCGGCGACCTCAAACAGGTCTTTCCTTGACTTCGTTGGACACCAGAACAGTCATTTGGACTGGTCCTCCGTCGACTGCGGAGGCTTCCGACCTCTGCCCCATAAAGACCGCTCGGGACGGACGGAGCCGGCTCTGTCCGAGGGATGGAGCCTGTCGACGACCCGGGACGGCCCTGTCGACGACCCGAGCTGGTCAGGTCCGGGACCGCAGCAAAGGGGTGCTGACGGAGCGGCAGATGCTCCTAGAGCTGGAACACCCTGGGATCGCCACGGCCTCAACGACGGAGCCCACGGCCTAAACGGCCTAAACGGCCTAAACGGCTTTGGTGCGGCGTGAAGCACCGGTGTTTGGGGGGATGTAAGTGGCCCAGAAGTTCGGGACATCCCAAGTTTGGCTCAAGATGTTGTGATGCAAGCTCCAGACTCCAGCTTGTCAATTTCCTTTGCACGTGAAGATTTGGGACCACAGTCGGTGCGGCAGATCGACCGTCAACCATCCCGTGGACTGAAGACCATGACGATCTCATGTTGGAAGCATCTACAGCATATATACCCAAGCCCCTTTTGCAGAGTGTCATCATGATCATTGCTACTTCATCCTCATTCTTTGCAAACCCCCCACTCGGACCTGCAGATGTCTAGCACTCTTGACTATTTTTTCACGCATCAAGAGTGACGGCCAATCACCAAAAAAAGCAGACCTACTACTGGCGCGGCGTGACGGTGTCCCCATCCTCACAAAAAGCAGACGATGGACGCACTCCGAACCTCTCTCCCTTCCTCCCTGAGGTTCGCCTGCATTTTGCCTTCCAGGAGGGGGACACATGGTGTCCACCGAGCGGTGGACTTGAACACCCCGGTGGTCGCGAGTGACGACGCGCCGGGACCTGGGCGGCAAGTTCAATCAGATAGGTTTGATTCACTTGTGAGTGCTGTCAGGAATTGACTAGTAACTAGTACCTAAGAAGTCAAATTCACCAATCCGTTACAAATAAAGGCTCTGCTATGTTCCAGAACTTCCTTAGCCGCTGGTACCCGGAACCTGTTCACTGTTGCTCTTTCCATGAAATACGTCCATGCAGCCTATTCTTTGGAGGCGCCAACACCCAGTTGTCATCCCCCCCACAGAACATCCAGAATGAGGTCAGAAAGGGTTCGTCAAGTTGGGAGCAAAACACCTTTCCCATCCTAGAGGCTGTGAATCACAAGCTCCTCCCAGGACGACTGGGCGCTCTACTTTGGCTTGGAATTGGTCTGGGATCTCAACTTCGGCAGGTTTGACAAGATGTTTTGGAGCTGGGTGCTTCCACGCATCCGGAGTCATATCCAATTGTCATACCCAGCTCAACATCCCTTGTTTTTCTCATCCCAGGGGGTCTCTTGATTGTTCCACTCTTCGCCGCGCCGGCGCCCGCGTGGTGTGGCTCGGCCCACGGATTTCACGAGGTCTCCGGTGGCGAGTTGGCCTCCCAGATCCAGCGCATGGGTGCGGCTTCCGCGTTCCGCGGGCGGTCGCACCGCTTTGGAAAGCGGCGGGTGCGGTTCGAACGCGGACCGCCGCGGTGAAGAAGCTTTTTGTTGGTGCGTCCAAGCAGTGGATTGACTCTGGTCTTTGTTGGGCGAACTTTGGACTCGCTCAGGTGCGAGTGACGCACCATTGAGGGGGGCCTTGGCAGTTGAATTGCATGGGTCGAGGCATCAAATATACCAAAGCACGATAGGAGAGGTGATTTTGATGCGAACCTCCAACAGGGCCACACTGGGGTGGGTTTTGGGCAGCCGACGTTTGTTCAATTTGATGATTGTGGCTGCATGGAGATGGTCTATGTTGTTGCATGAGCCAGTTGAAGCGGGATCACCCCAGGTGAAGGACTTCAGGTGCAAAGCTAGGTCAATCTACCATCTAGTAGCTTTGGGGTAGCCAGCCAACTCCGAAGAATTCCCTCAATCCTCCGTTCGCTGGGATACCCGCCCCGACCTCCCTGTCCCTACCCTTCGGACGGCCCCCACGGCTCACATCCAGCTTCTCGGAGAGGTCAAGGGACTGGACCGGACCAGCGATGTGCCCCGTAACGTTGGACCCGAATGGTCCTGAAGTTGGTCTATCAACCGTATCACTAACCCTCCCTCCCTCTCCGGCAGGTACCTGTCCGCTTCGCTTCACGCGCTTCTATGCAGCAGAGGTGGTGGCGATCCTCGCGTGCGCCGCTCAAACACCCGGAGGGTGGGTTTCCAAGCTGGCTCAGCCTGACACTGGACCCGATGTCCTGTTTAGAACCAAGAGGAAGGCCCATGGAAAAACAGACACTTCGTTCCACCAGAACATTTGGGCTGACCACCGACCCCCCTCCACTCCATTCCGCACGAGTCCGTTGAGATCCATCCAATCCCCTTCTCTGCTTCCTCGCTCCACCTCTCCATCCTTCGTCTTTTTGGAACCACCGCGGAACGACCGAGCCGCCGGCGCCCCCGGTCCGCCCCAAACCACGTCCGCTGAAGCGAGGTACCTGCGCTGCAAGCGCGTGGCGCACCGGGACCTGAAGCCCGAGAACCTGCTGCTCACCGACGAGGGACCGGCGTCTTCCGGGGTCGGACCACCGGGGTCCGGGCGCGGTGGCGCCGGATGAGGGACCGGTCCGGGCGCTGGAGGAACGAGCGGGGGACAGGTCGGTCTGGATGTCCGGTGCGTCTCCGACGTGATGGCTCACGCCCAAGATTCTTAGGTTCCAATGTGACATGTGATCATTTGGATTCAGAACACAGGTTGACGACCATGGTTGACCATGGGTGACCGGGAAGTTGGGTAGGAAGAGTCTTGCCCTTGAGTGTTGCACGTTGGGGGATTTGGGCCCACCTCCTCACACATGCTCGCACTATAGTTACAAAAAAGAGCTCATCAACAGCTGCTGTGTAGAAAACTGGTTCTCCCTGTGCCATGAACCGAGTTGGTCGACCGAAACACCGCACCGCCCCGCGTCGCCATGTCCACGAGGCGGAGGGGTTCCGTTCGACCGCCCCGTTCGCCGGTCGGCCTTGGTCGGCCTCGACCGAAGAAAGAAAGGACGGCTGAAGCTGGTGGATTTCGATGCGGCGATGTATGTGCCGGAGGTGGGGCCACAGCTCAGGGAGATCTGATTCCAGGGTCTTTCATCGGGTCGGGAACCAGGAAGCACCGGATCGGCGCGAAAAACAAACATTCAAGTCGATGGCCATCAATTGCATGGACAGTTGGGGAGTGCGTGCCGGCACCAGTTTGTTTTTCCTTTTTTTCCGCCTCGCTTAGTATCTATAGGGCAGATCATTTAGATATCAAATGTCCTAGCTTGGCAAACCCTAAGCCCAGGTCTCACAGTAATGGTTCAGCCGAAATCCCAGCTTGCAACGTCCAAACAGACAGAACTTCCCATTCCCACCATGATAATTTTCCCCTCAAGAAAATGGAACAGTCTTCTGAGAGTCAACCCCAAATACCCCAAAGATCGATCCAAAAGTGACACCTGCTCATTGTGGAGTGCTCTAGAGTTGGATACTTCTAAGTCAAAGCAATTTGGGCAACTCTCGGATGCCTTCCGCCTAAGCAGAGAACCGTGTGCCACGGCAGCATCTCGCTTCCCAGGGCGAAGCTGACGCCGCAGCCGGCCAGCCTCATACAGGCGCAGTTTCCATGAAGGGCGGGTGGGGGGTGGTGAAGATGGCGGCTCATCTGAAGGGTTTTGGTCCGTATGTTGTCCCGCAACATGGGTATGAACATGGCCAAGCAAATGGGCGGCACATGCCGGAATCCTCCAAGCCGGAGAACCATGAGTGGGAAGGTGGTCGTACGAAACTCATGATGGCGTGCCAGGGTGTTGGGCAAGGGGTGCCCCACCTTCAGAGGGACTTGGAATTTCTTGTCGACTATGTGTCAGTACAGCCTCTCACGTTTCTCTTAAGTTCCACCATCAGAGCTCATCAAGTTCCAACACTGGTGGATCAAACTCATCGCCAATCAGCCAATCCACTGCGCAGAAATGACATGTTTGGACTTGCTGGCGTTTGTTGGTTGTTTGCACATCCCATGCACTTTGGAGCAAACAGTGTCCCGTTTTTGACTTACCGCACGTTGCAGGTGTTGTGGATAGCTTCGTGGGCACCGCTTTGCACCCAGGGCAACAAAAAATGGGCCAGGTTGCATTGAATTGCCGAAACCTGCAAACAACACAGCTGGAAAAGAAACGAAAAACACATGCCTTCCAAAAAGCACGGGCCAGGTGGAAACAACTGACATTGCCTTTTCCCGCGCAAACCGCCCGATTTTCCACAGCCTGGACGATTGGCAGATCTGTCCACAGCCTGGAAACAAGTCAATGATGGTGATGATGATGGTCAATCGAGTCAATTCTGTGGTTCCAATTTATGGCTCCAAAGAAACACTGTAGCCCGGAGTCGAATTTTCCAGATTGTTTGCCCAACTCTACTAGTTCTCAAATGCAATTCGCCTGGCAACATGCATCATTTCACCTTAGTGGGTGAGTTGACACCTCTAAACAAGGTGTGAAGATTGAGTAAGCTTTGCTCTCGGAAGAACCCTATCATAGCAAATGCAACTGCTACAGGTGTTTGCCATAATGATTCTTCTGCTAAGGGTATTCGATGTTCGATCATGTTCGATCTATATTATATATATTTACATGATAGAGTTTGTTCAAGGATGTTTGTTTGCCCACATTTTGACGTGTTTTGTACGCAACGAGCAAGAGGGACGAGTCATCCAGTCATAGTCTGGAAGAATCAGCCTTCTACCCATCTTTTGCCTCAGAAGTCGACCCATTTTACTCGTTCGACGTGCACCGACAAAAACACTACGACTCGCCACATGGCACTTGTACCCCCCTGCTCACAAAACCATGCAAAATCCAATCCGTCAGCCCAACAGCAGATGACCGACGACACACGTGACACGCACTCTTCCACCGCGAAGGATGGCGCTGCATTTTCTCGCAGCATGGTCACCTCATGATCTTCGCCTGACCTCCCCGGCACACCGGACGTCGTACGGACCCTGCGCGTCGACTGCGAGGTACGTGGCGCCTGAAGTGCTCCTCGGCACGGTGCACGCGCACCAGGCCACCGGGCGAACCACCGCGCGGCCACGGCGGCTACGGGGCGAGGTCGTCGACACGCTTCATGTCCTGTCTGGGCTGTGACTCCTATGACTTGTTCAGAAGCTGAATGATCGCCAGGTCTGTCACAGACCCCAAGAGCTTTGCCTTGAATTTCCTGCTGTTTGCTGGACTCCAGCCTCCAGCTTTCAAGTTCC